AAATTATATTTTATCTGTATGTCTTCTAGGTTTATTATGTCATGTCTCCAAAAGCTTGGTTTGTATAGAATGAGATGGCATTGAGCTATTTTCATTCCAAATGGAAAATTTCATAATCCTTTTCTGTTCTGATTATCTCCTCCATTTGAATGCCATCTTGACTTATTGCCTGGTAAATTCTCAAATAGATATGTTACTTCATCTTATCCTCTCTAGTCAGTCTATTCATCTATTTAATTACACCTTCTTTTGTACTAAAATGTTAACAATATAATTTTATAATCTAAATTGGGTAGGATTAAAATACACGTTTCCATTGTTCGCAGTATTTTCTTGCCTGTTGTTATGTAGTTATTTTTACAAATGAACATAAGCATCTAATATTTGGTTATGATAGCATCAGTTCATCTTTACTCCACAAATCATTGTTTTAATTAAGAGAGAATTTAATGTACTGGTTAATTTAGAGAGAATTGACACCTTTACAATACTGCATTTGTCTTCCTTTTATATTTCTATAGTTTTAATATTTTAAAAGTTTCTGTATTTTTAAAAATTTTATTTTTAGATATTTTATTTTCATTTTTCTATTCTCATTGGGATTTTATTTCATTTTAGTTTGTAATTTTTTAAATTGTGGTAAATATATATAATATAAAATTAACCATTTTAAGTGTACAGTTAGTGGCATTAAGTTAGATTCACATTGTTAGGCAATGATCACCACCATCCATCTCCAGAACAATTTTTATCTTTCCACACTGAAACTTTATACCTATTTCACAATAACTTTCATCTCTTCCTCCCACCAGCCCCGGACAACCACCATTCTACTGTTTGTCTCTATGAAATTGGCTATCATAGAAACTTCATATACAAACTTCATACTTTGTATAGTATTTGTTCTTTAGTGACTGGCTTATTTCACAGTATAAGGTTCTTTTCGTGTTGTAGCTTGTCAGAATTTCCTTTTTTAGGCGAAATAATATTTCATTGCATGTCTCTACCATATTTTATCCATATATATTTCACCATGTGTTGATGGATACTTAGGTTACTCCTACCTTTTGCCTGTTGTGAAAAATGCTATTGTGAACATGAGGTACAAATATCTGTTCAAGTTGCTGCTTTTATGTTGTTATCGTTGTTGTTTTTAAGTATATTGTTAGGAATGTTATGTGGTAATTATTTGTTTAATTTTTTAAGGAACTATCATATTGTTTTCCACAGCAGCCACACTATTTTACATTCCTACCAATAATGCACCAAGATTCCAATTTCTTCACATCCTTGCCAACACTTATTTTATGAATTTTGGAAAATTGCCATTCTAATGAGTGTGAATTGGTATCTCGTAGTTTTGATTTTTTATTTCCCTAACGATTTGTGTTACTAACCATCTTTTTATGTGCTTATTGGCAGTTTGTATATCTTCTTTGGAGAAATATCTACTCAGGTCCTTTGCTCATTTTTAATTGGGTTTGGTTTTTTTTTTTTTTTTTTGTCTTTCATTGCTTTTATATTTTGAAATCTGTGTTCTTGATATTAGCTCCTTATCAGATATATGATTTGCACTTTCTTCTTCCCATTCTGATGGCTGCCTTTTCAGTCTGTTGGTAGTCTTTTCATAAAAGCGTTTAGACTTGATGTAGTTCCATTTGTCTATTTTTGCTTTTGTTACTTTTGGTGTTACATTTAAGAAATCATTGCCAAATCTAATGTCATGAAGCTTTTGCTCTAATATTAAGTTTTCTTTAGCTCTTACGTTTAGGTCTATTTTTTTTCTAGGGAACTGGTAATATTTTATTTCTTGATCTAGGTGATAATTTTTCAAATGAGTTCACTTTCTGACAATTCATTGAGCTGTACATTTACGATTTGTGCACTTATCTCTATGGTCACACTTCAGTCTTTCAAGGTTTAGGAAAATCCAAATACTAACAACAACAAAACTCTTTCCCTTATTTACCGGCCACCCTTCATTTCTCCTCTGTTGAATAGCCCTATTTAGCAGCTTCAATACTTAGTAAATGTTGGTAGTCTTTAGTGCTGTTCCACTTCTCCTCCCACTCCAAGTACATGGTCCCATTGCATTTCCTCATCCTGTGGTTGGGCAGGGTTGTGTGACTAGTTCTGGTTAGTGAGTTGGAAGAGGAAATGATGTGTGTCACTTCTGGGCTACAGCATCCAATTGCCAGCATGAGATCTGTAGGATGTCTTTTGACCTCTGCTGCAGTGACATGCAATTTTACAAGTTAGTGCTCTCCATCAGTCTCCATCCCAGAGAGAGGATGACACAGAGCCAACTCACAGTAGACATGAGCAACATGCATGGCAAGAAATAAACATGTGTTGTTTTAAGTCACTGAGATTTGGGGATTATTTGTTACAGCACTAATTTTAGTGGGACCTCCTGGTGTGTTTGTGTGTGTGTGTGGTTTACATGTTTATATCTCTGAAGAGTATACCAAGATAAGATATACTCCTATACAGATTTTTTTTTTTTGAGACAGAATTTCGTTCTTGTTACCCAGGCTGGAGTGCAATGGCATGATCTCGGCTCACTGCAACCTCCGCCTCCTGGGTTCAGGCAATTCTCCTGCCTCAGCCTCCTGAGTAGCTGGGATTACAGGCACATGCCACCGTGCCCAGCTAATTTTTTGTATTTTTGGTAGAGACGGGGTTTCACCATGTTGACCAGGATGGTCTCGATCTCTTGACCTTGTGATTCACCTGTCTCGGCCTCCCAAAGTGCTGGGATTACAGGCGTGAGCCACCATGCCCGGCCTATACAGATATATTAACTATACTCATATTTCCCTCCATGAAACAACTATTACATGAAATATGGAGGGAAATATAAGTACAGTTAATAGATCTGTATCAGAAGGTTTTCAGCTTCAAATACAGAAACCCAAGCTGAAAATTGCTTTCACAATAAGACTATTGCCTATGTAAAGAAAAATTTTTAATTGCATTTTAAGTTTTGGGGTACATGTGAAGAACATGCAAGATTATTGCATAGGTACATACATGGCAGTGTGATTTGCTGCCTTCCTCCCCATCACCTATATCTGGCATTTCTCCCCATGCTATCTTTCCCAAACTCCCCGCCCCCCATTGTCTCTCCCCATTTCCCCCCAAACACACCCCAGTGTGTGATGCTCCCCTCCCTGTGTCCATGTGTTCTCATTGTTCAACCACCTATGAGTGAGAACATGCAGTGTTTGATTTTCTGTTCTTGTGTCAGTTTGCTGAGAATGATGGTTTCCAGGTTCATCCATGTCCCTATAAAGGACATGAACTCACCTTTTTTGATGGCTGCATAGCGTTCCATGGTGTATATGTGCCACATTTTCCCTGTCCAGTCTATCATCGATGGGCATTTGGGTTGGTTCCAGGTCTTTGCTGTTGTAAACAGTGCTGCAGTGAGCATTCATGTGCATGTGTCCTTATAGTAGAACGATTTATAATCCTTTGGATATATATCCAATAATGGGATTGCTGGGTCAAATGGAATTTCTATTTCTAGGTCCTTGAGGAATCACCACACTGTCTTCCACAATGGTTGAACTAATTTACACTCCCACCAACAGTATAAAAGTGTTTTTCTTTCTCCACATCCTCTCCAGCATCTGTTGTCTCTCGTGTTTTTAATGATTGCCATTCTAACTGGCATGAGGTGGTATCTCAATTTAGTTTTGATTTGCATTTCTCTAATGACCAGTGATGATGAGCATTTTTTCATGTTTGTTGGCCTCATGTATGTCTTCTTTTGAAAAGTGTCTGTTCATATCCTTTGCCCACTTTTGAATGAGCATGTTTATTTTTTTCTTGTAAATTTGTTTTAGTTCTTTGTAGATTCTGGATATCAGCCCTTTGTCAGATGGGTAGATTGCAAAAACTTTTTCCCATTCTGTTGGTTGCTGATTCACTCTAATGACCATTTCTTTTGCTGTGCCGAAGCTGTGGAGTTTGATTAGGTCCCATTTGTCTATTTTGGTTTTTGTTGCCAATGCTTTTGGTGTTTTGGTTGTGAAGTCCTTGCCTATGCCTATGTCCTGAATGGTTTTGCCTAGATTTTCTTTTAGGGTTTTTATGGTGTTAGGTCTTATGTTTAAGTCTTTAATCCATCTGGAGTTAATTTTGGTGTAAGGTGTCAGGAAGGGGTCCAGTTTCTGCTTTCTGCACACTGCTAGCCAGTTTTCCCAACACCATTTATTAAACAGGGAATCATTTTATTCATTTTAAATTAGTTTTTATATATGGTATCACATAAGGGTCTAACTTCATCCTTTTGTATGTCAATACCCAGTTTTCTCAGCTCCATTTGTTGAAAGGACTGTCCTTTTCTTATTGAATGATCCTGACACACTTATCAAAAATCCTTTGGTAGTGTTTATTTCTGGGCTATTTTATTTCATCAATTTACATGTCTGTTTTTATGTCAGTACCATGCTATTTTGATTATTTTTGTAGTGTTTTCAGTTGTTTGTTTTTTTGTAGAGAAAAACACTAGTGACTTTTAATATTTAGTAACCAGATAGTTTACTGAATTCTTGACAGGTTTTTAAATTGATTTTACAAAGATACCATTATGTCTACTGCAAATAATTATAAACTGCTACTTCCTCTCAAATTTTTTTTTGTTGTTCTTAATTGTACTAGTTTTAAAACAATGTTAAATAATTATGCTGGCTACATACTGTATTTCTTTTTCTCATTGCTGCTTTAATGGAAATTCTTCTAATATTTCACCATAGAGTATAACATGGTTCTTGGTTTGAGATATATCCTAAACTTTTGAGGTTGACTTCAAAAAGCTTAGTTGCAATTTGCTACTTAATTGCAATTTGTTTCTTGTTCCTTTTATTAAGAATAGAATGTCGATCTGAAGGCATCAAGGAAGGACTACTCAAGACAGTTTTGGGGTATATAAATATATCACTACGTGTCATAGGAACTTAACTAATTGAACTTTTCTTTTTTCCCCCCAACAGAATGGCCAGAGTTTTCTGGTCTTGGATGAGCAACGATTTGCAAAAGAAATTCTTCCCAAATATTTCAAGCATAATAACATGGCAAGCTTTGTGAGGCAACTGAATATGTGTGAGTATGGACAGCAGTTTATTTGGAGTACTATTTTCTTTTGAGTACGATTATCAGCTACTGATTAAGCAATTTTTTTCTCATTAGAATGGTAAAGAAAAACATATTGCATACAAGCACTGCCAAATTTTGACATGTTTATTTTAGTCATTTAAATTTTTAAACTTTTTCAGATGGTTTCCGTAAAGTAGTACATATTGACTCTGGAATTGTAAAGCAGGAAAGAGATGGTCCTGTAGAATTTCAGCATCCTTACTTCAAACAAGGACAGGACGACTTGTTGGAGAACATTAAAAGGAAGGTGAGCTATTGTGAACATGAGCTAATTACAGTATTGACCTGGAGTGTACTTAGCCAAGATTTTTATTTCACCTGTTGAAAGTAAGAATGTAGAGAAATGCACAACTGTTCCTTTGGGGATGAATTAGACTAAGAAAGTTTTAATTAACTGTTTCCCTTTATATTTTCCTAAGTTATTTTTTAAAAAAAGTAAGTTCCTGCTAGAATATCAGCTCCCTGGAGGGCTTCTTCTATAGTTTGCTATTATATATCCAGTGCCCACAATAAGTCTCCTCTAATAATATAAATATGCCCACATTGTAGGCATTCAGTAATACATTTTTAATGCATAATATATTTTGTTAAAATAAGATAATTTACTAAATCTAAAAGGGGTGGACCGTGAAAGAAAATGGCCTAGCATGAAGCTATTACTGCATAAATTTAATTGAATGTGGAATGTAGTAATAAAGAGGCTTGGGGGAAATTGCAGGGAGCTTGGCAGAAGGGGAGCAAAAAAGACCTGAAGATATTCCTGCTTCACATTAATTTTTTTTGTTGTTTAAAGTAGATTATTCCTTGCTTCCTCTCCTATTGAGCTCTGAAGTTTATTCTTTCCCTCGAATTTCATCCCAGGGTTTTGGAACCAGATCTTATTTCCTGAACAGGCTATGAAAACCTCATCTTACAGGGAAGTTCTGAATTACAATCATGTGTATTTACTGTTTTTTTGATTTTCTAAATTTACTTTTTAAAAAGGTTTCATCTTCAAAACCAGAAGAAAACAAAATTCGTCAGGAAGATTTAACAAAAATTATAAGTAGTGCTCAGAAGGTTCAAATAAAACAGGAAACTATTGAGTCCAGGCTTTCTGAATTAAAAAGGTAAAGTTTTATTTCCAAATAAAATTTTAATATGGGAATTGGATATATGTCTATGTGTGTTAAGTTTGGAGGTTGTCTGATGTTTCATTGTAAGTACTCAGATCTCTTTGTTGAAGCCAAGATCAAAGATCATTTTTCTGCAAGTATTCGTTCCTCTTACTTTGATTTGTGGCCATAGACTTTACCTTAATATTGTTTTAATTATGATAGTCAGAAGATATAAACCTAAGCATATCAAAACAGTTTGATGTATAAGTTTTAATGATAGACAGTAGATCTTTAAGATGATGTAGGAAATAGGATTCTGCTTAGGTTAGTTCATATGGTGTTCACAGACAGTGAGGGCATATGACATAAAAACGCTATATGTTGGGCCATAATCCCAGCACTTTGGGAGGCCAAGGCGGGTGGATCACGAGGTCAAGAGATGGAGACCATCCAGGTCAACATGGTGAAACCCCGTCTCTACTAAAAATACAAAAAAATCCCAGCTACTCAGGAGGCTGAGGCAGGAGAATTGCCTGAACCCAGGAGGTGGAGGTTGCAGTGAGCCAAGTTGGGGCCATTGCACTCCAGCCTGGGTAACGAGAGCAAAACTCCGTCTCAAAAAAACAAAAAAAAAGCTATATTTTACCCATCTTTTGTTTAATGGCTATCTCTTAAGACTTCTCTGTGTGGACTAACTCTTGTGAAAAAGTAGGACAAACACAAAAAATTGGAAAATAGTGATACAAGAGAGTTGCCCTCCTTGATACTTATTTCATATAGATTTGGAAAAGTGTTATTCAGACCTTTTAGCTACAGAAAGATGCTTCATTTTATTTTACTACATTTCTTGGTACCATATTCTAACTTGCCATACTAATAACTTGTATATGAGTAGATGGTGTATTACTCTTCTTAGTAAGTAGCTGGAATTTTTCTGTATCCTAATAGATGCCAAGGGCTTGACTAAGTTAGTTTACATAGTCTCTCTTCCAAATCGAATGTGGAACATTACTTTAGTTAATCATAACTCAAGTATCTTCATTGAAAAAGGAACCTTGAACTTTGATTTCGTTTTTGAATAAGCTTTGGGGTTTCACTTTTGTGTATTTAACCACTTGCTTACTGTATGTCTCTTGTGTATACTAACTTTCCTTTGACCCAGTTCCTTGGACCTCAGTTTTAGCCCTTAAAGAAAGTGATGCCCAGATCATTTTTTTTTTAAGATAAAGCCTCACTCCGTTGGCCAGGCTGGAGTGCAATGGCACGATATTGGCTCACTGTAACCTCCACCTCTCAGGTTCAAGTAGTTCTTGTGCCTCAGCCTCCCGAGTAGCTAGGATTACAGCCCCCCACCACACCTGGCTAATTTTTGTATTATAGTAGAGATGGGATCTCACCATGTTGGCCCGACTGGCCTCAAACTCCTGATCTCAGGTGATCCACCTGCCTCAGCCTCCCAAAGTGCTGGGAATCACTGCGCCCGGCCAAAGAAAGTGATCCCCAAATCATCTTCTATATCTTGTCTTCTTCTTAACTTTTTTTTTTTTTTTTTTTTGATACACAGTTTTACTCTGTCACCCAGTCTGGAGTGCAGTGGCTTGATCTCACCTCACTGCAACCTCTGTCTCCCAGGTTCAAGTGATTCTTGTGCCTCAACCTCCCTAGTAGCTGGGATTATAGGCATGTGCCACCACGACTAGCTAATTTTTGTATTTTTAGTAGAGACGATGTTTCACCATGTTGGCCAGGCTATTCTCAAACTCCTGACCTCAAGTGATCCACATTAGCCTCCCAAAGTGGTGGAATTATAGGTGTAAGCCACAGCATCTAGCCCTACTTATCTTTATTCAGTAAGAAGATAACAGCATTTTAAAATTTGAGTCAGAAAAAAATACGGCAGGTACTCAGTAAATATTAAGAAAATCTCCTTTTGTATAGCTTTATATGTAAATCTCCAGTTCCTTTTATATTAGTTTGGATTAAAGAAGATGACTTGTGGAGATTAAAGATGGAAAATTAAAGCATTTAATAGGCAGGGTATCTATCATGTCTTTTCAGCATTATCTGCACTGCTAACATTTAACAGTGCAGTTTCAATTTTAAAAAGTTGAATGAAGAAGCTGTTAACCAATAAAAGTTACTGGTTTATTATTGGATATGCTTTATCAGAATAACATTTTAGTGGTTTACGTATGCTTTTGTTTGAAATAGATCTTAATTAAAATAGTTTTAGTATCTGACAGACTTTAGTTTGACTTCAGTACTTACCAAATTATTTGTATGATCTTGAGCAATTCCCCTCAAGTCTCTGTACCTCAGTGTCCTCGTCTATAAAACAGAGATAATGACTTATTTCTTGGTGGTTTTTAGAGAAGTTTTAAATAAGTATTACACATAAAATGGTTAGCATAGTGCCTGGAGTATAGTAAGTGCGGGGTATATATCACTACTGTTTGTTTCCTAAGGTGGTTAGGAAGGCCTGAATTCACTTGGTAGCCGCAGTTGAAAGATTAGCTTATTTTTTTAAGCTAGAAGTAATGAGTCAGATTGTCAAAAGTAGTAAATTGCTGTCTACTATATGGATGTACGCATATGTCTTAAGTTTTTGTGTATATATTGCCATGAGTAGCAGAAAATACAATTAAGGAGAAATGATTCTGGGGCTGGGTGTGGTGGACCCATACCTGTAATCCCAGTACTTTGGGAGGCTGCGGTGGGTGGATCACCTGAGAGGTCAGGCGTTTGAGACCAGCCTGGCCAATATGGCAAAACCCTGTCTCTACTAAAAATAAATACAAAAAATTAGCTTGTTGTGGTGGCACATGCTTGTAATCCCAGTTACTCAGGAGGCTGAGGCACAAGAATTGCTTGAACCCAAGAAGCGAAGGTAACAATGGCCTGAGATTGTACCACTGCACTCCAGCCTCGGTGACAGAGCAAGGCTTCATCTTAAAAAAAAAAAACAACGAATGATTCAGGAGTTGTGTCAAGGTAGTTGTCATTCCTGTGTAATTGAACCAAAGTTTTCTTGGTCTCAGAAAAAATATATAGTAAAAACAAGTGTAGTTAAGTTCTCTGATATCCTTAATTAGAGATATTGAGGCCTGGTTTTCTGACTGATTTTTGTTTTGTTTTGTTGCTTAATGAATTATAACATAGTGAGAATGAGTCCCTTTGGAAAGAGGTGTCAGAGTTACGAGCAAAACATGCACAACAGCAACAAGTTATTCGAAAGGTAAGAAGTTCTTTTCCCCAGGACCATAATTTGCATTTGTTTAATGAGTACTGTTTGTGACCCCAAAAGGTGTGTATTGGGTGTCAGTGATTGATCTTAGTTTCTTACATAGTGGGTGCACAGATAGAAGTAAAAAATGAAATCAAATTAAGCCAAGTGTTATATATTTTTAACGAAGAATATTTCTCATTACCTAAAGAAGGCCACTCCATATGTTTCAGTAGCTTTTAGTAAATGATCTTTTGCCTAATGTAACAACTTTGAAATACTTTATTTTATGAGCTTAATTAATACACTACCAATTTCTTAACTTAAAATTAGTATAGTCTTACTATTTTTTTGTTGGTTTGTTTTTATTATAAAAGGCATAAAGTCTCAGAAGATGAATGACAAATATTTTCAAATCATTGGACCAAATTATGAGTTCAAAAAATGAGTTTTCAGTGTATGCTGTTATTAGTCTGTGCAGAAAAGCAGTTAACTTAGTGTTGTAAAATGGACTTTAAATTTTAGTATATGAGCTGAAAATTTAACAGAGGAGTTGGAATCCCTCTGTTTTATTGTGTCCTTGTGATTTAATCTTTGCCTATCAGCTTTCATTTGCTAATAAGAGATGAAACATAGTAATTAAGGCAGCTATTTTTTGCTCATGAGTAAACTAGACTCTGAGTTTAAGCAACAGTTTTTTTGATGGGGTGCTTCTGATCCCTCCTGCTTAGAAGGCCCTTGAACTAAAAATAGGGTTGTGACTGACAGGATCTGGGTCTAATGGAGAAGGCTTGAAGCAGAGATGCATAGCGGTTGCAGCCTGTGGCCAGTAGTCAACATAGATCTACTGGCTTTTGTTTTTTTTTTTTGAAAAAAGATCAGTGTGCAAGTGAAGGTTGAATGTATTAGAATTTAGTTCTAAGTGTTTAGTCTAATTATGTATATTTTTTAAACTTTCATAGGCAACTCTAATGTTTACCCTGGTTAAGAATAGTTGATTTAAAATAATAGATGTACCTTAACCTGTACTTTATGGAAACAGTCTGTTAATATTTTTCAGAAACAGTGTTTTGGTGATATATTAGCTTACAACACTCCATAATCTGTAGATTTTTTCCCCCTAAAAACAAGGATAATTGGTAAAATAGTATATGACATTTCGGTTTTTCATGAATGCTAACATTCTCTCTGCTAAAATTTGAGTTTGAATCTCTGTGTTTTGTTGAGTGTTGTTTGCATAATGCATAAAGACAACTAATAATTTCTATTCTGCTCCTGGAGTTTACTGTCAGCCATGGAATGAGAATAATACGTGTGATGATTCAGTTATAGGACTTACCAGGTAGAGAAGTTACATGCTGTAAGGGTTAGATGCCTTATCTTCTTCAGAGAAAAATTCCTGTATAATGTGATACAGAAGTGTCATAAGAAAACTGAGATGCAGAATAAATTTAATTTAGACTGTGATTGATGTTCTTATAAATTCAACCTAAAGTTTTTAGAATTTTCTCATAACATTTATTGATTTAAAAAACTGAAGTTGAATTGTAACATAGATATCTTTAAGCTTACATACTGTCTTTTCATTAGCTGTCAGCATTTTCTCTTGAATAAGCAATTTAGTGCCTACTCTCCTTTTTGTAGATGCTAATACTATCAAACTCTTTAAAATGTCTATATTTTTGTCCCTTGAAAAGTTGATATTGATTATAAGGCAGACCATTTAGTAGCCTTTTTTTGTGAGGAAATGCTCAACATTAAAACTATACAATAGATATTTTTGATTGGTAATACTCTATTTAATCATGTAATTTCACAAAGCTTATAAGCACATCTTCTGCATAGAATCTAAATAGTCCTCCAATCAGTTTTGGCTTTTATTTATAGCTTCTCAGTGATACACTACTTTTACAATTTACCTTATAATCCTCACCTTTTATAGCACCTTTAGGAAGTTGACAATGTAATTCCAAGGCATACTGTAAGCCAGTGGTTGTCATACTCAGATCAGTATCCAGTCACACTAAAGGGCTTTCTAAACATATGCATTACTGGATCCTGTGATTTGAATTTCAGGTTCAGCAATTCTGTAGTGGGATTGAGAATTTAACACATCTAAAGTTCCTAAGCTAGTGTTGCTGGTTTATGGGGCACACTTTAAGAAACAGTACTTAAGAAAAAACACACTTTGAGAAACATAAATTATGAAGGCTTGTTGATGTGTCTTGACAGTTTTCTCTCTAAATTTAATCAAATATTATAAAGATTAGCTTCCCTTGTCAGTAGGGAAGTTTTGACAGACAGGCCTCAACACTAATCTTCATAGAATCAGGCAATACACTTTTTTCTTTATCTTTTTTTTCTTTGCTCACAAGGAGAATTTGTTTGTTTAGAAATGGAGCATCACGATGTTGTCCAGGCTGTCTCAAACTCCTGGGCTGAAGCAGTCCTTCTACTTAGGCTTCCTAAAGTGTTGGTATTATAGGCATGAGCCACCATGCCTGACCCATCAGCTTTTTCTAACTCGAAAATTATATGATCTACTCTAAAGGAACTGACAGTTTCTTTTGCCTCTGTTACCTGGTAGAAGGAAAATGTTGCCTATGAAACATCAGTTTTCTCTTTGCACCATAATGCAATCTTCTTCAGAGTATTTGAATTTAAAAAGTTGGAATCTACATCCAGGCAAGTTTGGTACTTATCAACAAAACAAGTAACTGCCTGGAAGCTGGTAAGTTTCTTTAGACGGCAGTTATAAGGTGCATCAGCTTTCAAGTGTTAATAAGTGAGAAATTATGAGACTTAGAATGGAGGACAAATTATTATTGGAATTTGTTTTATAAGACATCGTAATAGAAACAAAAAAATTAATGGTATGGTAAAAGAATTTTTATTTTTATTTTTAGATTGTCCAGTTTATTGTTACATTGGTTCAAAATAACCAACTTGTGAGTTTAAAACGTAAAAGGTAAGTTTTTATGATGAAGCATTATGGCCTATACATAGACAGTCTTTTTAGTGTTTAACCACGAGTAGCCTACATTTTCTGAGTATATGGTTATTGTTCCAAAAGAACAATTCTCCTTTGTTAAATTATACTCTTAAAATCTCTAGTGATATTACTTTTTAGTTTTATCATTCTGCTGATGTTTGTGAGATAAGGATAGCCTAAATGGTCACTTTATAAACACATATACAGTTAATAAAGAATATTCACTTTTCATTCACATTATTAAAGTAGCATTAGAAGGCCTGAGTGAGGAAATTTTTTAAAAAGAGGCCATTCGTTAAAAAAAAAAATCAAAATTTGTTCTACTTGACCTCTCTTAGTTTGATCCACTCATAGTCTTTTTAAATCTGTATTTCAGCCATGGGTTGTGATACCTATAAATGTCCATAGTTACTATCATCATAGCTAAAATGTTAGAAGAATAATGGACAAAAGGAAAAGTTGAAAGGAAAAATTGATAATGTAACACTAAGATTTGGGGAAAACTTGATTATGATCAGAGCTTTATGGCCTTAACTACTTCCGCTAATTAGTTCTCATGATATTACTGTTCTTTTTTCTATATAAATACAGTTCATAGAGTTGTGTAGTTCAGTAAACACTGAAGCATAACTGGAGAGAATAGTTTATTATAACAAAAATAGTGTAGAAAAATGGAGAACTGAAAGTTTTAGATATTCTCATCCAGCAATTTCTGTTCCTAAGATGTAATCATTTTTAAGTTTGTTTATTGCTACTGTAATTTTTATTCATTATTAAAGTGAGTGTGCGTGTTTGTGTGTTTGGGAAAGCTTATAGAGAGAGTTTAAATTCCTTGTATGTTTGCTTCATTGAAATGCCTTCTGATTTTCAGGCCTCTACTTCTAAACACTAATGGAGCCCAGAAGAAGAATCTGTTTCAGCACATAGTCAAAGAACCAACTGATAATCACCATCATAAAGTAACTTTTTAGTTAGAGTCTATTTTATATTTAGTGTCTCAAACAAAATTTTATTATAGTGTGTTTCATACATTGAGAGAAGTGTGGTGAATAACCATTCAGGTGTTCATCCCACAGCTTTGTTAAATCATGACATTTTTATTATTTGCTTTAGATTATTGTAAGAAATAAATCATACACAAATCTAGTTGTTCCAGTTGCCTGTTTCCAAGTTTTTTTCTTCCCCTCTCTCATCTCTCCTCATAACTCTCCCCGCTATCCTGGAGGTAGTCACTGTCTTGAATTAATATCTGTTATTCTCATGGCCATTATGTATGTGTGAATCCAGGAGCAGTACTTGGTATTATTCTGCATATGTCTAAACTTAATATAAATAATATCATTTTGTACGTATTATTTTACAGTGTAGCTTTTATTTTTAATTTGGTGTTGCTTTTGAGATTTATTAAACATAGAGATTTAGTTTATTCATTTCTTTTTTGTATGTGTGTGTATGATGGGGTTTCACTGTCACCCAGCCCGGAGTGCAGTGGTGCGATCTTGGCTCACTGCAACCTCCTCCTCCTAGGCTCATGTGATTCTCCTGCCTCAGCATCCTGAGTAGCTAGGACTACAGGTGTGCACCACCACACCCAGCAAATTTTTGTATTTTTTGTAGAGATGGGGTTTCATCATGTCACCTAAGCTGGTCTCAAACTTGTGGACTCAAGCCATCTTCCTGCCTTAGCCTCCCAAACTTTTGGGATTACAAGCAGGAGCCACTGTACCTGGCTTATTCATTTTGATTATAATAATTGAATATTTTGATGATGTAATAATGATAATTTAATGTGGTTTTACATTCTTCTATTGGTTATTTTCAACTTTATTTTATGAATGTGCACCATCTAGACTGCTTTTTACTTCAGCAATTTAAAAATATTTTTACCTTCATTTTTGTCACAGGCTTTCTGAATAATTTGTCAAATTTCTATCCACTGGCAAATTAGTCCAGTTCAAAGTCCAGATCTTTTTTATTATCTTACTATTATTACTTTCAAACTTCAGAAATCAAAATAGTCCTTCAGATGTATTATTAAAGTAACAAGATTTGTGTTCTTGGACTATCAAACTTAACCTCACATCTGATTTCCCACCAGTTAGTAAATAATTGAGTATACTTACTCTGTTTTTAGGATTGAAGGCTCATGTACGTGGATGAGGATTTTTAAATTTTTAACTAGGTTTATATATTTTAAAGTACTTCACATCTTTTGCCTCTGTTTATCTAATAGTGAAATTTATATATTTCTTTTGCATTTTAATAATGACTTTAGTTTGCTTTAGAGGATTGAACTAATTTTAATTATACAACTATGGCCTAAATATATCTGTAGCTTAAGTTTAAGAAATCATTGCTAAAAAGCCAAGCTAACATGTAACTGAGATAGTTGAAGTGCGTTTTTTTCTCTTAATGAAGCTATTTAGTGAATAAGAATAAAACACCTTTCAAAACAGAGTAGCTTGAGCTGAAACAATATCCCTATCAGCACAGTGACTCTCTGGTTGTGCTTGAACTATCTAGTGTAAAGTCGTAAGACTTTTTTACTTTTTAGGCATAAAAAATACTTTAAAATTTGAAAATCTTTCCATAGAAACATTTTTAGGGATGTTGTCTTTAGGGTCCCTTACAGTAAAAGAAGTAGTTAAGTGTAGAATGCAGTTAATATACCTCATACCTCTGTGAATTGGTGCTACTAGTACCAATTAGTTTGTAAGTTCCATGAGAGCAGAGAACATACCTGTTTTTCTCACCCCGAGATTCAGTAAATAGTAGTTGCCTGGTTATTTTGTAAATGATATCTTGTTTGGTAGTCAATGATTTTGATTTTTAGATATATTTTTCTCTCTGAATTTTTAGGTTCCACACAGTAGGACTGAAGGTTTAAAGCCAAGGGAGAGGATTTCAGATGACATCATTATTTATGATGTTACTGATGATAATGCAGATGAAGAAAATATCCCAGTTATTCCAGAAACTAATGAGGATGTTATATCTGATCCCTCCAAGTAAGGAGTTTGTGAGATAAAATGTATGAAAATATTTATTACTTTTCTTATTACAGAGCTAAATTCAAGATGACTTTGTTCTTTGAAAAAACTAATAATCTTTTTCACATTTGGATTATTAAACTGAATAATTAAGCTAAATTATTCAACCAGATAAAGCCTCACCTCCTCTTCCTTTCGAAGGAAGTATATTAAAAATTAATTGATTTTTAATTTTTAGTTTGGAGTTAAGCACTTTTCATTGAATCTTTGTGGTATTCTATACTATGAAATACCAATATTATGATTAAGCTGCTCACTCAAGAAATTTTAGCCTTTCAGTGTGTGGTGTGGGGAGAGAGTTTCCATTTAGAATGAATGGATGGTATGAACTTTCTAAAGCTGAAAATGTAATAGGTTCTTTCTTTTATTGCTGATCTAGCTGTAGCCAGTACCCTGATATTGTCATTGTTGAAGATGACAATGAAGATGAGTATGCACCTGTCATTCAGAGTGGAGAGCAGAGTGAACCAGCTAGAGAATCCCTAAGTTCAGGCAGCGATGGAAGCAGCCCTCTCATGTCTAGTGCTGTCCAGTTAAATGGCTCATCCAGTCTGACCTCAGAAGATCCAGTGACCATGATGGATTCCATTTTGAATGATAACATTAATCTTTTGGGAAAGTGAGTGTTCATCTAGATGTTGTCTAAAACTATTTGCTTTCTTTGTTCACTTCACATGTTCTGTTTTTCTTTGAGTGATTTTCCTTACGTATGATGAACCCACATAATCTACCTTTCTCTGTTTTGGTCAGGATTGAGCTCTGTAATCATCCCAAGAGTAGTCTTGGTATTTTCCTGGTAGTTTCTCAGATTCCTTTAATGATATACTTGCTTTGAGTGTACATACAGTGTTTGTGATTATATATATTTGTGTATCTGAACTGCAGAATAATGTAATTTATAGTAAGGGACTTATAACAAAGAAAACTTAGTAATAATCAGTAATGCGATAAAACATTTTATAATGTAGAGGAAAAAGGCAAATCAGACTGTTACTGCAGAATGTTTTTCTGTAAATACTGAAGTTTTCTATAAAGGCTATGAATTTTCAGTTAACCAAATTTTCAGGAATTCCTACTCTTTGAATAAGATCTCTTAAGATTAAGAACTGGTAAGGTTGCAGCTGCTGCTAGAAATATCTTGTGTAGCCAGGTTGTAATGGTGATTTTTAAACATAAAAACAAGGACATCTGATACGTGTTTAAAAAAATTTTTTTTTTCCTTAGGGTTGAGCTGTTGGATTATCTTGACAGTATTGATTGCAGTTTAGAGGACTTCCAAGCCATGCTATCAGGAAGACAATTTAGCATAGACCCAGATCTCCTGGTTGATGTAGGTACTTTGGGTAATCTTTGCTGTACTGGTAGTTTGTGTATTTGTGTATATTATTTAAAAATCAATACGTCATTTTGTTTTGTATTCTACAGGTTGTTTTGCATTTTCTTTTTTAAAATTAATGATTTCGTTTTCAGAAAGAATGAGAAAATAGGTTTGGGACGTTGAAGGAGAGTGATCACCACCTGCCTCGGAGTAGCAATTGAGCTAATCTCCCTGTAAGAATATATCAGATCTTTTCAGCAGTACTGTTAAATTCAGGTCTTGTCTGGACTTGTTGCTGTTCTGTGTTTTGCTCTAGAATAAATTGTCAGTAAATAGAAATTTGTGGAAATTAGTAACAGAGGTACCTAGCCAGGAAATTAGCATGGAGAGACCTTTTAATACTCTGGGAATTAACATTTTTTTTGCTCAAATATATTTTAATGTATTTGCATTATTTTTTTACATTTTTATATTTTGAGTCACAAGGTTCCCCTCTGCTAATCCCCACCACCATCCCTATGAACTTGTCTTCAATATTGACTGGACTGAGAATTCTTATCTATCGTTTCTGCCACTAACTGCCTTTCTTATTCTATTCCCTCTTGTCCCTGCTATTTCTCCCTTCTTTATCTGAAGCTTCCTACATAGCCTGGTCCCGCTCAGATGTGTCTTGTCCTGTCTCCTATTTTCATTATCTGTTGTGAACAGTTTTCTCTCTTTATCCTGGAAAATTTTGTTGCTTTTTTTTCTGTTTCTTGCTTTACATTGCAGCTTTTCTTACCCTTTTAAAAGCCTCTCAAAGAGGCTAAAAGGAATTAGTTCTTTTTGCTCTTCAATCTTAATTTAAGTTCATTAATTTACTGCATTACTCCTCTACTTCTCAACAGTTTTTGTCAGTGTCCCAAGGACTTACTGTTGCTGAATCATCGGTACCTCACAGAGTGGATTTTACTTTCTTTGACGATTTCTTTCCCATTTAGACCTATGTTTCTATCTTATGAATATTTGTTACTATGAATTTTGAATCCATGTTGATGACCTACTTCAACTTGATAGTGTTTTTTGATCCTATCAGCCCTTGTCTCCTCTCTAGTTCCAGAGACCCTTCAAAATATTTTTTCTTTAGATCACTAAGAATGAATTAAAATTTCATAATTCTGGCCATGTTCAAATCCTTACAGTCTTTAGCTAGGTCATTTTAATTCAATTTTAAAACATTTACCACATTTATTTGCCCCGAAGTCCTTATCCAGTCAACCCCCTACTCATAGAGGATAATTAACTATACTCTGGTTGTCTCATAAACTCTGACTCTGTTTCTAATCTTGTATTCTTTCTTCTTAAAAGAAGTAATTCTTTAAACCAATTTATACCCCTTTCCTTTGCCTCTGTATTTGTCTTCTCTATTCTTGATCTTTCCCATCTGGCTTCAGTAGGTAGAGATCTGTCCCATCTTAAAAGCAAGCATTTTGACATCTTGCTTTGCTCATTTACCATTCTGCTTTTCTAACTCCTTTACCACAAAACTTCAGAAATGAGCAGCTATATTTACTTCTTTTTTACTCTATTTCGTCTGAAGCGTTGTATTATGTTGCTTGTTAACTCTAATCCTGTGCTACCTGTGTTGTCTTGGTTTTTCCCATTGCAAATAGGCTGTGTGTAATTTTTCTTTTCTTTTTGCTAAATTAGTCCATTGAGCTAGTGGAAAGTTTATTTTGAATTGGACAAATTTGGGTTCTGTTATTGGCTCATGTTACTTACTAGCTATGTTACTAACCTTGGTAACTAAGCAAGTTACTCTCTCTTGCTTAGTTTCTCCATCTGTTAAATGTTGCCAGTGTCTAACATGAAGGGCTTTTGGCAAGAATTAGAAATAATTAATACTATTATTATTAACATCATTGAGCATTTACTTCTCTCCCTGTCTCCCTAATCTTCTTTGTTTTATCTAAGAGCTTTTCTTTTTTTCTATTGTCTTCTACTTAAGGGCATCCCATAATGCACCTAATCTTTTAGCCCTTTTATTTTTTTTAATCTCTCTTCTTTTTCCATTCTTCCTCTGAAGAGATTGTGGCTTGTAAGATTGCTTTCAAATATATATCTCTAGCTCTTAACATTTTTCTAAAGTAAACTTGACTTGAATTCTAATTCCACGACTTTGGGATCATCAGTTAACACTTACCTCAAATTATTTGATTTAATAGCAAACTCCTTTATTCTCTGTATTAGCTACCTTTTACATCTTTCTTGTTTTCTGTAGTCATATTAGACTTCTATTTACTTACGAGGATATTTATCATAGAATCATCTTGGAGACTCTTTCTCATCATTTGCTAAGTTCTATTTTCTAAAATAGCATTCACAAGCCATCCCTACATTCTGTTTTCACTGTTGCTTATCTCAATCAAGACTTTATTTTATCCTTGAATTATGCTGTATTGTCATAAATAAAAAGTCCACCTATGCTGCCTTGTTCTCTGAGACAACAAAGATGGTAAGAATGTTATTGAGTGTGCTGAAATTTACAGCTTCTCTCTGAAGAGTTCAGTACTGGTAACCCAGAGTGGAGTCACAGCAGGAGAGGCCTGGCCTTAGAATTCAGCCAGCTGGGTCAGCTTATATATGATCTACCTTTTCTACAATTTGTCTCCTGGGAATACATGTAGGATATATCCAAGTTAGTGCATAGGGGTTGTTGGGCAAAGAGAAGAATAGAAGAGCTTACAGTGCTGGTCCTCCTCAGGTGCCAGTTTCTGTAGGGACGAAATTTGGGTTAGGCCTCTTAGGCAATGACAAGCTAAAGTGGCAGAGATTATTATGAGTAACTATTTACTTTCAAGGATCTGAACTTTCTTCCTTTTCTGAGGTTAGCGATTGGTAAGAAAGAAGAAAAAAAAAGGCAAAGCCAGGGATTTTTGTAGGACTACTATGAATGTGGATCTTTAAAGAGAGGAATCAGTGTCTAAAGAGAATGGAGGAAGAATCTCCCTGTGACTTTTTTTTTGCATCTCATTTATCCTGTGAACCATTGGTTATGTTCATTCTCATAAAATGCTAACTTAGTGACTGTATTTCATCACTCAGGCCATTCTCAAGGCTGTTATTGCTGATAGGCTGCGGCCACTACTTTTTGAACCTATGCATATGACTTACTTACTCAACTCAGAGCTTCTGTGTTATTTCTATTTCTGGAACGTATCCTACCTTCTTTGTTGATGCTGCCAGTGTTATACTCATGTGTTCTTCCCTCCGTCTTCTTTTTTCCAAGTTCTAACTTAATATTATCCAGTTACTGATATATATCACATAGTTTTATCAGCCCTTTTTGTTTCATTATGTATGTTTCTGTGTGCGCTTTCCTCCCTTCTCATTCTCTTAACTTCTTAGTGCTTTTGAGCGCCACCATCTTCTGTTAAAATACTGAATTGAATCTGAACATATGTTGCTATTTGATGTTGGTCTTACCTTGTCCTTAGATTGTAAGCTCCTACAGAGCAGGAATGGTGTCTTTATGATGTCAGTTATTTCTTAAAGATACTCGTAAATTTCTATGGAATGAAGACTTTAAAGCTTATGACTTATAAGTTATGTCTATGAACTGACTAGACTGAGGAGTACAGCAAGCAGTGGTCGTAGCACTTACAACTTTCCTTTCGAGGTGTGGTGGAAAGAACGAACAAGTAGATCTGCCATTCATCAGAGGGCTTCACTTGAGGCATAATTTAGGAGCCATTGTCATAGAGCAGATTCTGTAAATTTTTTACCTAACCAGGTATTCAGTGAAGGCTCAGTGTCAGGGCACAAGTCTCAACCCTGGGCACAACTTAAGTCTAAAGACATTTAGAGAAAAAAAAATAAAGAACATGAAATGGAATGATAAATAATGAAGAAGGGAGGTGGTGAAAACCATCATTTGTCTCAAGTGATTTACCCCAATGTTTTTTAGAGAAATTCTTACAATATGAAATTTCATCTAATGCATGGACTAGCTTGTTCTGCTTTTATTTTTCTTTCTGCTTTTCTCTTTCAAACTTGTTTAACTGTATAGAAGCTTCCTAGTTCAGGGAATACATCTCTTCACCCAACATGGCTGTATAAAAATTTTGAACACACAATTATTTTTAATTATTTTTTAAACTTATCATCTTTCTTGTTTGGTCTTTCAGCTTTTCACTAGTTCTGTGCAGATGAATTCCACAGATTACATCAATAATACAAAAGTAAGTTTTAATCCATGTTGCTCAGGACCCATAGCTATAATAATATTTTTTTAAAAGTCCTAATAAGTAGAGAGCAATATTACTCCCAGCTACAAAAAGCATTTTATATTCTTACCCAGTATGTGTGATTGAGATAATAAAATTCTAGTTGGAAAATTAGCTTTTGGTTATGTGGTGAACCATTACCCACTTCTGGCACTTGTAGGATCTACTACAAGTATGAAATTAACTTCTTTTGGTGCTGGGAGATCACCTGACTAAACTTGGTATATTGAAATAAATAACTAAAATATGATTTCTTCATGTTTTATCGGCAGTATTTTACATTCTTATTCTTTTATAAATTATCATATTTTTAATTAAAAATGTATGGTACCCATATTTTTTGTGAGTTCTATCATAAGCATACAGTAAAAACTCAGGAATTCTTAGTAATTGGAGAAAAGGCAAGTTGAAACATTGACATATGGATTTTTGACTTTTTTTTAAAGTAATACAGTTTTTTTAATGTATAGGAACTGCACTTGAGCTTAACAAGTGTTGACAAAAGATTCTGTGAAACTGGTTTTTAATGAATAGTAAGGACAATTTGAAGTTTGTAGAGCAGATGTTTATATATCATTATTATTTTGTATAACTTATTGTCATGAATAAGTATATACTCCCTTTATCTTTTACTTATACCAAATTGTTTAGTAAGCCTTGTTAAAGGTAAATCAGGCCCACATTCCAGATTAGCAAAGCCAGAATTGTATTTTGATTCTTTTTCTTGATAGTCCAAAAATGAGCACATCTCAAATAAATATGAGTTATTAGGGTGAGGGGGTGGAATTTATATGACTATAGTCATGTGTAAGCCCAATCAGACTTTCTGTATTTTCAGAGTTACATTGTGGATAACTTACAGCTTAAAGAATTTATAAATTTGTGAACTAGGAAGTTGATTATACATTCAGTATTCAGATAATTTATATCAGAGGTTGGCATGCTTTCTCCATATAGGGGCAGCTAGTAAATACTTTTGATTTTTCAGGGCATATGTTCTCTGTCATAACTATGTAGGTCTGCAGTTGTGGTGTGAAAGCAGATGCAGACAATACATAAAAGAAAGTGGCTGTATTGCAAAAACATTTTATTTACAGATAGGCAGTATGCTGAATTTGGCATGTGGACCATAGTTTGCCTGGATTTGTAAGATTTTATAACATGCTCTGTGTTTCAGTAAATATATTATTGAATGTTATTAACTCATGGACTGTAAGTTTAATGGACCCATATCATTTGTTCATTTAGTGAATGTAGTTTATTGTTTATTTGTTGCTAGACATTGAGTCATTCTTTATTTGTGGGTCATCATTTTATTCCAGAAACCAAGTACTTGATTATAGTTTTCAAAAACTATAGGCAGTTAAGCAACAAATTGCATTTTGCTCTACAGTGCTGTGGAAAAATTAAATTTGAGAGCAACTTTTCGTTATAGTTCTGAATCCAGATTTTAATGTTTTCAAATAATTGGCACATCAGCTGTTCTTCTTTGCTCATGACAGGTATTATGTAACATGGATTACGCTACTTTCCTAATAAATCAGGATGCCTTATACTCCTCAGTACAGCTACTACTAATGAATAAGAATTTGCATAGGAAATGAAATCCCATTCAGTATGATATTGGCTATGGATTTGTCATAAATAGCTCTTACTATTTTGAGATATGTTCCATCGTTACCCTAGTTTATTGAGTGTCTTTAGCATGATGGGGTGTTGTTGAGTTTCATTGAAGGCCTTTTCTTCATCTATTGAGAAAATCATGATTTTTGTCATTGGTTCTGTTTATGTGATGGATTACATTTACTGATTTATGTATGTTGGACTAGCCTTGTATCCCAGGAATGAAGCCAATCGATTAGATGGTGGTGGATAAGCTTTTTGATGTGCTGCTGGATTCGGTTTGCCAGTATTTTATTGAGGCTTTTCTCATCGATGTTCATCAGGGATATTGGCCTGAAATTTTATTTGTTGTGTTTATGTCAGGTTTTGGTATCAGGATGTAGTTTCAGAAGGAATGGTACCACTCTTCTTTAGACCTCTGGTAGAATTCGGCTATGAATCAGTCTGGTCCTGGGCTTTTTTTGGTTGGTAGGCTATTAATTACTGCCTCAATTTCAGAGCTTGTTATGGCTTTATTCAAAGATTCAACTTCTTTCTGGTTAAGTCTTGGGAAGGTATATTTATCCAGGAATTTATCTATTTCTTCTAGAATTTCTAGTTTATTTGCGTAGAGGTATTTATAGTATTCTCTGATGGTAGTTTGTATTTCTGTGGGATCAGTGGTGACATCCCCTTTATCATTTTTAATTGTATCTATCTGAAATGCATTTGTCATCAGGATCTCATGTTTTAGAAGAACGGTGACATCTTTGGAAAATACCTATTTTAGGAAGCATAAAAATAAAGATGGTATAATTTTATTAATGTTTATATATTTATTGTGAATGCTAAGTGATGAAATATTTTTATGTACACTTTTGGAAAGGTTTTGTGGTTTTTATTATATCTTGGAGCCATTATCTTCTCTAACTCCTAAAACTTAACTTCATTTTATGATAAATATCAGGGAATTACTGGAATTAGTTTACAGTTGCTTACACCATGTATATTTAGCCAGCATGTAGATATCTGGGACTTGCACATGTCTGGGACTTACAGGAAAAATTAACCTGCACCTCAGATTTTGAACATCATTGAAAAGAGCACTGAAGAAATTAACAACAATAAAGATAATTTCCCTACCAAAATCAGATGTGAGGAGAGAAGAAAGTGATTCAAAGAAGCAATTTACTTGACAGAAAGAAACTGAAAGAGCTACAAAAAGGACAAGAAGAAACACCACCTCAACTTTAACTTTGAGGCTTTTAAATATAGTGATAAATAGTTTTAAGGATGCCACTGTGTCATCCTGAACTACTCTAAATATGTTCACTTATGCTAAATATTCTGTTTATGAGTGAAATGTATAATACAGTTTTTAAATCAAAACTACTTAAAATGAATTTAATAGCTTAATAATCTCTCAGTTGACATTTGAAACCAGTCATCTTTGATTTGTTGCAGTCTTTTACTCTTGACAAATTCTATCTGCTCTGCTATTGAAATCCCCCCTCATTTCATACTTAATATGGAACATCCTAATTCAGTTTCTTCGTTTTATCCCCTCAGTGACAGCAGTAGTTCCTTAACCAGTCTTATCTCTACTCAAATCTCTCTCTGTAGCGCATTTTTCCTGATGTTCCCCCATCCTATGTCTTTCAGATAATATACCAATATTTACATATTGTATCAATTTTTTATTTTTTGATTTTTTTCAGAAACAAAATATGAAACAAGTACTTTTATGTATTTTTTTTTTCCTTTTAGTCTGAGAATAAAGGTCTAGAAACTACCAAGAATAACGTAGTTCAGCCAGTTTCAGAAGAGGGAAGAAAATCTAAATCCAAACCAGGTAGGTATAGATATTATTATTTAATCTCTAGGTTTTTTTAAATCCTATGTAGAAACAAGTCAAGGGTAGTCTTAACAATTGAATATGCTGGCTTTAGTTCTGTGAATAGCGTGTCAAGGTTCTAGTATATAGAGAAAGTTGAATTGATGAGGTAACAATTCTTAAAGTGTTTTTTTTTTTCCTGTTTAGGAAACTGATAGAACGAACCCTCATTTCTTAATTGTTGAATAAAGACTATTGATTTATACATTTTAAAATTTATTGACATGGTGCATCATGTCATTTCTTGTTTGGCTATATGAGAGTAGTGACTGCCTGTGTGTACATCTCTGTTTTCATTCATCAGTTTGAATTCAGTATAAGCTGGTGATAAACGAGTGTTTTTCTGATTTTTGTAGATAAGCAGCTTATCCAGTATACTGCCTTTCCACTTCTTGCATTCCTCGATGGGAACCCTGCTTCTTCTGTTGAACAGGCGAGTACAACAGCATCATCAGAAGTTATGTCCTCTGTAGATAAACCCATAGAAGTTGATGAGCTTCTGGATAGCAGCCTAGACCCAGAACCAACCCAAAGTAAGCTTGTTCGCCTGGAGCCATTGACTGAAGCTGAAGCTAGTGAAGCTACACTGTTTTATTTATGTGAACTTGCTCCTGCACCTCTGGATAGTGATATGCCACTTTTAGATAGCTAAATCCCCAAGAAGTGGACTTTACATGTATATATTCATCAAAATGATGAACTATTTATTTTAAAGTATCATTTGGTACTTTTTTTGTAAATTGCTTTGTTTTGTTTAATCAGATACTGTGGAATAAAAGCACCTTTTGCTTTTCTCACTAACCACACACTGTTGCAAAGCTTTCAGATGTTACTCAGCTGCATCGGTAACAGATTTAATGCACATTATTGGCATATCTTTAAGTTGGATTCAAATGGCCATTTTTCTCCAATTGTGGTAAATTGGATTTCTTTCTTTTTTTTTTATTTTTTTTTTTTACAAATATGACCATTAACCTCAGTTAAATTTTTGTTTTCTTGTTTGATGCTGTCTGTTTGCATTGAGTGTAAGTCATTTGAACTAATGGTATAACTCTTAAAGCTTTCTCTGCTCCAGTTATTTTTATTAAATATTTTCCACTTCGCTTATTTTTAAAAACTGGGAACATAAAGTGCCTGTATCTTGTAAAACTTCATTTGTTTCTTTTGATTCAGAGAAATTCATTTATGTTCAAAGAAGTTTATTTATATTCAATGGTAAAGACAAAGTGTACATGAATGCTCACTGTCTGATAGGGTTCCAGCACCATATATGTAGAAAGATGTGGGGGATGGGATGGAGTCAGTGCCATCCACTTAGTTGGACTAGTTTTAAGTAAAGGTTTTCTGGTTTGTGTTTTTTTGAACCATACTGTTTAGTAAAATAAATACAATGAATGTTGAGAACTAGTGTCTGTTATGTGTCTTCTTTAGAGGTGACACTCACATGAAACAATTTTTTCTTCTCATAGGAAGCAGTGGCTTTAAACTTTCTGTGGTTCATTATTCTCAATGAATCATACCAAGATCTTTGTGCCTCATCTCGAAAATAGATTATATATTGCAACAAAAGTGAAATCTCTAAATTTAAGTATTTTAAAGGTCTTTGTTTAAAAATTACACTGACTTGCTTTCTATGTTTTTAATAAAGAAGTGAGAGAAGTATGCCTCTCATTGTCCCAAACAGGGTTAGAATATTATCACTGGAGTCACCACAGGCCTATAATTGTTGTCCTGAGAGAAGATAAGAGAAATAGTCAAATCATCTCTTTCCTTTGAAACCGTTGCTCAGGAGAATTGTAGAGTCAGTGCAAGCCGAGGGTACTTTATCATGTGAAGAATTCCACCTTTGGTCAAAGGGCTAAAAGCAGTACAGTTAACATTGTATTGGGCTAATTAATGAAGAATTTCAAGGCAGGCTTTCCTATTGGCCATATTCTCTCTGTGTCTTAGAATTTCTTTTATTGTGATGTAAAGATTCAAAGTAAAGCCTAGCACAGAAGAATAGGAAACCTCCCTTAGAAGAGTTTTAGTTAGATCCTAAAATACTTGGTTCTGACAGTGGGATCTTGGTGAATTAATTTAACACCCTAGATAGAACAGTGCTCTACATGAGCTGAAGAGGTTACGTTTCTAAAGGTGAGAAGAAGAGGTTAGAAGTTTAGAGTTTAGAAACTGAGAGGAGAAAAAGACCCTAAAAGACTTTTCCCTTTTCCTTTCTCATTATGGAATATAATCAAGTTTTTACTTCTTGGGGACATTTTGAAGCTCTAGAAGCACTTTAAAAATAATTTTGAAAAACTTGATTACCACCCTGGTACTTTTAAAGTTGACATTTAAGGTTTTTCCATCTTTAAATACTCAAAAGGAATTTAGGATATAGTTAATATTGCTGTTTTAAAACACAATTGTTATATATTTCTTTAAAATTTACCTAAAGGAACTTGAATGCCATAGTGCTTTGACTATATCATCCACTCAACTTCCTCAAAAGAATTTTATCCTGCTTTTTTATGTGTGAAAGTTAGACACTGATGAACTTTTGTCACACATCTAAATTTGAGATTGTTGTTTCCTGTAACTATAAGATTCTAGGCATTTAAAAACTTTCTCACCAATTTTATGCTATATAACTACACAGTTGTTCAAAATAGTGTAAATATATATGGTAGAGACTTAACTGATTGCCAGACGATTTCCTTTTCCTATCATGTGGCTAGTTTATTTCTGCCATTGCAGATGGGAGTAGCCATGTAACTGAGTTCTAATCAGTAAAACAGAAGTGATGTGTAGCACTTCCGTGTCTGGTCTTATAACTTTCCCCATGCAATCTTCCCATGCCATTTACCCTCCACTGGCTTGATGAAGAATTGTATGTAGCTTTCAAATATACAATCAAGAAGGAAAAAAATGACTTCTTGAATTACTGCTTAGAGGAGAAGCACCCATCAATCCTGGATACCCATTTTACACTTCAGGTGAGGGGAAACAAACTTATTTTTCTGCCTGAGTTTTTGTAGCTTGTAATGTTTACTACAATTATAGTCTAATTTTGATCATCTGTTAACAAAAAGTTTTACTAGAAATATATCTTTTAGTGGGAAAACAGGTCTTGAGTTTTCATAATAAAAGTTACTCAGTACCAATTTTATTCCTATTCTTGTTTTCATTGATGTTAAAATCCTGAGAGTCTTTGTTTATAGTACAAAATGACAAGTAGATGAAAAAGCAATTTTGTGTAGTACTGTTACTTAATTTTTTAACTCCTTTAGAATTATGTACCTGAATTCTATAAATTGATGACTCAATTAGACCATCTTTCAATTTTGTTGAAAGCAAAATATTAGAAACCAGCTGAATCATAAAAAAGTTTAAGTGTCATCTCTTTCTCACCACTATTTTATTGTATTTTATTTTTCTCACCAGTATTTTTAAATGTCCCTTTACTGATTTGTCTAGATATTTTTTCCAAAGTGCATTGGTAAGATTCAGAATGGATAAGAGGTATATCTTTGTCAAGTACGAAAATAATAATTATTTTTTGAGGCAAACTAAGTTTTGCTCTGTCACCCAGATGGGAGTGCAGTGGAACAGTCTCTGCTCACTGCAACCTCCACCTCCCAGGTTCAAGCAGTTCTCCTACCTCAGCCTCCAGAGTAGCTGGGATTATAGGCGTACACCACTAGGCCCAGCTAATTTTTGTAGTTTTAGTAGGGACAGAGTTTCACCATGTTGGGCAGGCTGGTTTCCAACTCCTGACTTCAGGTGATCAGCCCGCCTTGGCTTCCCAAAGTGCTGGGATTACAGGCATGAGCCATTGCCCCCAGCCAGAATAATTGTTGAAAAGGAAGATGCCTTGTCCTGAGGCACCTTTTCAGCCAGATCAATTTTAGGAAAAGAGCAAACATAGGAATTAAAGATGTGGTTTCTTTAAAAAACAATCTAGCTTGTGTGTACCAGAGGAAGTCTCTCTGTAATCTCCAGGAAACTAGTACCACAGTGTGAAAACAGTTGAGGGGGTACCCTCATCCCACTTACAGCTTTGTCTTAGGGAGATACAAGTAAGACCATAAAAGCTTGTGAATTGCAGACAGCTAAACGTTCTTTTAGTTTGTGTCAGTATGTGTTTGATTATGGACAGCATCCTCAGGAATCTAGAGCTTGAGATGTGAGAAAAAAGTCTGCAGACTGGAAAAATACCCAAATGACATTCACTGTGACTTAACGTATATAGAATGTCATGTTCAAGACTTAGAGCCTAGAAGATGGCCCTTTAGGAGCAGCTCAGGATTGCAGCTCCCAGTGAAAGCGCAGAGGGTGAGTGGACGCCACATATCCAGACAGATCTTTATTGCCCATAGACCAGGAGATTCCCAGGCGGAGGAGCCCCATGGGTCACCGGCGTGGCGGCTCTCCATACAAAATACAATGGTCTGGTTGCCCTTTTTAGCTGGCAATTGGAGCTCTGGGAAGGCAGATTAGCCCATTCAGCTGATTAAAAGGGTCTGAAACAGAGAGCCAGGCCAGGAGATTCCCAGGCAGCGCCGTTGTTTCAGGTGGCGCAGTGGGTCACCGCACGGGAAATCACGCAGATCCCGGGGCCCTTTCAGCAGGCGACTGGAACACCTGGGAGAGAGTCAACCGTTCAACATAAAAAAAAAAAGGCTCTGAGACAGGGAGCCAGGTGATCAGGCTGGGCGGGTCCCACGCCCACAAAAACAAACAAAAAACAGCAATTGGAAATGCTAGGGGTTGAGAGTTTCACAGCAAGCACAGCTGAACCCAGGACGGTGCAGCTCAGTGGGGGAGGGACATCCGCCATTACCGAGGCACTCCACCCCCTGCCATTGCTGACACAGCCTGCCATTGCCGAGGCAACCCACCATAACAGAGAGAGTCTGCCATTACAGAGGCAGGCCACCATGGCTGAGGCAGTTCTAACCACACCCATATAAACAGGACTGCAGGGAAGTTCACAGGGCAGCAGGGTGGAGCCCACAGCAGCTCACAAAGCCTCTGCAGACAGACAGTGACTAGGCTACCTCCTTGCTGAGCAGGGCAGCCCTGGAAAAAAAAAAAGGCAGTACAATGGATACTCAAAATAAAGCCCTAACTCTCCGGGACAGAGCACCTGGGGGAAAAAAGGGGGGTTATGAGTTCTTCTGCAGCAGACTTAAACATACCTGCCTAGCAGCTCTGAATGAACAACGGAGCTCACAGCTCAGCACTTGAGCTCCTATAAAGAACACACTGTTGCCTCAAGCAGCTCCTTGACCCCCATATATCCAAAGAGTCACCTCACAAAGGAGTGATCAGACTGACATTTATTTGGCGGGCATCATTCCGGGACAAAGATAGCACAAGAAGAAACTGGTAGCAACCCTTACTGTTCTGCAGCTGCTGCAGGTGATCCCCAGGCAAGCAGGGCCTGGAGTGGACCTCAGGAGTCCCACAGCAGAGGAGCCAGACTGTTAGAAGGAAAACTGAGAAACAGAAATAACTACATCATCAATAATCTGGACATCCACTCAGAGACCCAATCTGAAAATCAGAAACTACACAGACGACAGGTGGATAAATCCACAAAGATGGGAAGAAACCAGCGCAAAAAGGAGGAAAACATCCAAAACCAGAACACCATGCCTCCTACAAGGGATCACAACTCCTCACCAGCAAGGGGACAAAGCTGGATGGAGAATGAGTGTGATGAAATGACAGAATCAGACTTCAGAAGGTGGGTAATGAGAAACTTCCGTGAGCTAAAAGAACATGTTCTAACTCAATGCAAAGAAACTAAGAACCATGAAAAAAGATTTGACAAAATGATAAGAATGGACAACACAGAGAGGACTATGAGTGAATTGATGGAGCTGAAAAACACAATACAAGAACTTCATGAAGCATGCACAAGTTTCAGCAGCTGAATTGACCAAGCAGAAGAAAGGATATCAGAGATCGAAGATCAACTCAATGAAATAAAACGAGAAGGCAAGATTAGAGAAATAAAGTGCAAAAAGAATGAACAAAGTCTCCAAGAAATGTGGGACTATGTAAAGAGACCTAATTTACATTTGATAGGTGTACCTGAATGTGACGAGGAGAATGAATCCAAGCTGGAAAATACTCTTCAGGATATTATCCAGGAAAACTTCCCCAACAGAGCTAGGCAGGCCAATATTCAAGTCCAGGAAATACAGAGAACACCACAAAGATATTCCGCAAGAGGAGCAACCCCAAGGCACATAATCGTCAGATTCACCAGGGTTGAAATGAGAAAATGCTAAGGGCAGCCAAAGAGAGAGGTCGGATTACCCACAAAGGGAAGCCCATCAGACTCACAGCAGATCTCTGGGCAGAAACCCTACAAGCCAGAAGAGAGTGGGGGCCAATATTCAACATGCTTAAAG